AGTATAACTACAACAAGGAAACCTCTGCATTCACTGCACATTGGCGTCCCCAAAAAACTTGTGGTACTGAAAGAACAAAGGAACTAAAGTTAGCATGTAATCAGCAAGACTCTGCTAATAGCAACACGTCTCTTCTGATTGTGCATAGGACACAATAGTTATCGGAACCCATGTTTTCTGAGGGAAGGGTTTACATCTGTGGAGCTGCTGTGCTCAGAAAATTTGAGGAAACCATCACGAGGTGCTCCACACTGACAGTATATCAACCAATGAATAGTACAGAACATAAAAATAGAAACAGGAGTAGGAGTATGCCATTCAGTCTTTCAAGACTGAATCCCACGATTCAAAAGGATCATGGCTGATCTGTTCCAAGCCTCGCTCCTATCAGCTCCTCATTGTCTCCAACTCCCTGATATTTCAACAGTCCATCTCCCTCCTCTTTAAATACTTCCAGTGACCTAGCCTCTACAGCTGTCCAAGGTGGAGAATTTCTCACTCACAAAGGAAATTCTTTGGCATCTGAGTTATAAGTGAGTGTTCCCTTATTCTGTAACTATATTCCTTAGTTTGAGATTCCCCCCAGTTAGTGGAAACATCTTCTCAACATCTCCCATGTCAAGCACCCCCTTAGAATCTTGGACAAAAACAAAAAAAACTACAGATGTTAGGAATCTGTAAGAGAAACACAAAGTGCTGGAGAACATCAGCAGGGCTGGCAGCATCTGTAGAGTGAAAAGCAGAGTCAATACTTCGAGTCCAGTGACCCTTCATCAGAGCTGAAAGTAGTGAAAAAGGGTGGTATTTATGCTGACGATGGGGTCGGGAGAGTGAATAGAGAATATGGAGACACCACCCAGGGAGAGATTATGTTTTAATAAGGCATATTATTTTTCTCATCGTCATAGGAACGTACAGCACAGGAGGCAATCATTTTAATCTAGCAATATGAACAGTACGTTGTCTTATATTTGAGTGACTGATGAAAATATCATTCTCAAAATTAAAAACAGTAAGATACTGCTTGAACTTGGTCATAAGATACTCAGTTGGAGTTTGCTTTCTTCTGTTGGCTTGGAACTATTTTCCCAAATTGGTCCAACTGACTACAAAAACAACTATCCTGGACAACATTGCTAGTTTTAGTCATGGAGATATTATTATTTTAATTTTTTTGTTTGCTCATGGAATGCGGGTGTCACTGGTAGGGGCAGTATTTAATACCCATCTCCAATTTCCCTTGAGCTGAATGGCTTGCTAGGCCATTTCAGAGGCAGTTAAAAGTGGAAAGATCTTGTTCTTTTTATTTTTGTGCCTTTTAAAACTGTTCGCTGAAATGAGGAATACTGGTTTTGAAACCCAGGGATTTACAAGGATGCTTGCATGTTTTGAAAGTAAGGAATTTTGATACCTACTGCGAACCCTCTTTGTGTAATTGTGCAGGCAAACTGGGTCCGTCACAAGTGAAACTAATTGGCTTGTGGACTGTTGACCAATTATTAATGAAAAAGGTCCTCTGCCTGGTAACAAGGTGATTGGTTGTCAGTTGAATAGCTTGTGCTTTGGGCAGGGTAAAGAGATGCGAGTGACCATAAAAACATAAGAACAAGGAGCATAAATGTGCAATCAGCCCTTGAAGTCTGCTCCATCATTTAATACAATCATGGCTGATCTCATGTTGGCCTCAACTCCACATTTCTGCCCATTCGTCATAAACCTTCAATCCATTACTAACTAAAAATCTGTCTATCTCCCCTTTAAATTGACCAGAAGAGGAACTATCAGTTTTGCATCAGAGAAAAAAAACCACTCTTAGTTCCTGCAATAAGCCACTTTAAACATGAAGAAAATCAGCTTATCTTTCCTTTAGCAGATGCTGCAAATTGTGACTTTCAACTCAATAGGTACCATAGGGTTTGGTGCTGGGTCCTTTGTTGTTTGTAGCATACATTAATGATCTAGACATGAATGCAGATGGTTTGATGAGTAAGTTCGCAGATAGCATGAAAATTGATGGTGTGGTAAAGAGTGAGGAGGAAAGCAATAGATTACAGGATGGCGTAGATGTGCTGGTGAAATCCTGCGAAGTGTGACAAGGATTGACAAGGCAAAAAAGAGTACACATTAAATGATAGGAGCCTGGGGAAGTACAGAGGATCAGAAGGACTTTAATGTGCATGTCCATAATGTTGTGACTCACTGGTATCCTAGCACTGATCTGTGAGGTACCCCACTAGCCACTGCCTGCCATTTAGAAAGAGACCTGTTTATTCCCACTCTTTGTTTCCTCTCTGCCCATCATTGTTCCATCCATCTCATGGCACCACCCCAACCCCATGCACTAATTTTATGCACAAATCTCACGTGAGATTTAGTCAAAAGCCTTCTGAATGTCCAAATAAACTGGCTCCCCTTTGTCATCCTCAAAGAATTCTACTGGATTTGTCAAGCATGATTTCCTTTTCGTAAATCCACGCTGACTCTGTCCAATCCCACCACCGTTTTCCAAATGCTCAGCTATTAGTTATTTTATAGTGGCCCATAGCATTTTCCCTACTACCAATGTCAGTCTGACTGGTCTATAATTCCCAGTTTTCTCTCTGACTCACTTCTTGAATAGAGGGGGAATGTGTGCTACCCTCCGATCTGTAGGAACTGTTTCAGAGTTTATAGAATTTTGGAAGTTAACCTTCAATGCATCCACTGTTTTTAGGGCTACTTCTTTAAGCACTCTGGGGCCTGGGGATTTATCAACCTTCAATCCCATCAATTTTCTCGACACCTTTTCCTGACTAACTTTCAGCATCTTTCCCTCAGCATCTCCCTGTCACGACACCCTGTGTGCCCCAACATTTCTGGTATATTTATGGTGCCCTTCTTTATGAACTCAGAGCCAAAGTGCATACTTAGTTGGTCAGTCACTCTTTGTTCTCATTTTAAATTCCCTTTTCCTGACATTTGTGTTCACCAATATTTTTCGCTTCGCATACATATAGAAACTTTAACACTCAGTTTTTACGTTCCTCTCAGACTTACTCTCATACTCTACTCTCCCCTTCTTAATCAGTCTCTTTGTTCACCTTGATGAATTTTAAACTGCTCCCACTCAAGTCTGTTGTTTTTCATTCTGGTCAATTTGAATGTAGTAAAGATGCAACAACAACGTAAGTTGTCACTGGAAGAAATTTAGGTGTTCTCACGGTCTTGGCAACACTCATCTGCCAACCAAAATCATCAAAAAAAAACTGTTTGTTGATTGTTGTTGGTGAGAATTTGCCTTTTTTGCCCTGTAACAGCAGGTCATTGTCTTTTCAATTCCAAACCTAAGAGATTCGTGAATATCAAGGACCTGTATCAAGAGTCTAAATGGAAGAAGGTTTAGTGTCAAAGGAAATCAGGTGCTGGACTTGCTTGTGATGGTTTAACGATTTACTTTTCCAGGTTCTGTTACAATGGCAAACAGGAACTCAAGGCAGCGATAGGCTCTGGGGTAGGAACGTTCAACACCAATTGCCTTTCAAAGTCCTGGATGTCAACGACTACATACATACATACACATACACACACACACACACACACACACACACACAGTTTGGACAAATCATGAGTATAACTTTTGCCCTATCTCCTTGTATGTTTTTGAACTAAGGTCAACTAAACAAATGTATTCAGTAACCTTCATGTTCACTTCCTTATATTTATAGCTCTGCGTTTTAGATTCCCCAGAAGAGGAAATGTCCTCTCTACAGCTACCCATTAAAATTCCATAACTTTAAAGACCTGGATCAAGCCATCTCTCAGCCTTCTCTTTTCTAGAGATGGTGAGCCAACAAAATAATCTTGTGAACCAAACATCAGCAAATTGAAAGGACCATGGATTGACAAAAAGCGTGGGAAGATGCCCTTTGGTTACTTATGCTGTGGATCACCATAGTTCTGGCTCATTTCACACAGCCCGGTTGGCCATAATATTGAGTTTCTGGAATACTCCTCCCCAGGGGAAGTCCATTCATGTCTTTGAGGGGGAGACTCATATGAGAACAATGTAGATGAGAAGCATATCCTGAAAGTGGATGTGAATTAAGCGTTCCCACAGCAAGGGCTGGTTGTACAAAATCATGTTTATTTAAAGGTTAGAACTTCCTTTGTTAGAATTTGAAAAAGTTCCTAATGCTCCTCAGGGATACCAATACATTGCATTTCAATGGTCTCCAAGTGGGTACAGCTTGAAGAATCAAAGAATCGCAGACTTGCTGCAGTGCAGACACAGGCCATTCAGCCTATTGTAGCTGTACTGGCTCTTCAAATGAGCATCATTACTGAGTGCCAATCGCCTGGACTTTTCCCTATACCCCTGCATATTATTTTTATCTGAGTAATCATTCAATACCACCCTTAAATATTAGTTTTAATGATTCCAGTGTGGTTTCGGTGATATTGTGGGACTCATCTTTGACATTTGCAGAGAACCAGAGTCATCACTGGGGGTGGTGGGAGGAGGGCAGGACTGGGTGCTGCCTTCAGTTGGCACAAAATTCACCAGCGGTTGTGGGAAATATTCCTTTGGTGGTTGTGCCATCTGACACCATGAGTTTTGGGAGCATGACTGAAATATTTCAGTCCTCAGTGCAATGCAATGCTGGCACTTCCTTCGCAATATGCACGTGCTCTGGAGCACCTCATGTGGCTTAGCTGTATTTCTTTGGCTGATATACTCAGTACAAGATATGTATGCACAAGGCTGAGTGATTGGAGTACAGTCATTCCTTAGAGGCAGGCATTACAGCCACAGACAAGCTGGCAAGTGGCTATTATCATTTACAGGATCAGACTGTCAAATAGTTGACCGTGAACACGAGCAGTAAAGAGTGACAATGTCCCTCACATTTCGCTTTTTTTTTGGTGGAATTGGTTTGCTCATGCATTAGGTGCAAATTCGGAAATGAAGAAAGTCATATCCAATCGCTTAGTTCATGCTTTGATTATAAACAATCACGTACCTTATAAGTAACCTTGATGAGGGCATAACATGGAGTGTTTGTATCCACATCAACGGGCACTAGGAGACGTGGCTCAGCAGCAAGCACATACAAATGTCTCAGTGCCTGAAGGTGATATCTGCACATAAAAGAAAAATGCAATGACTCAACCTTCAAGGTCTCCAAGGCCTCAGCCAAGTATTACATTCCCAAATATTTCCCTTGCGTATTACGCGCCCCCACACTTCTTCTGCTTGACATTTTCTGAAAACAGAATGTCCTTTCAATAAGCAATCACTTGTTCAGTTCTAAAACAACCAAGGTCAGACGGAGGTCAAAACATAATAGTTAAAGGAGAATATCCTGTTCTTCTGGGAGTTTCTATCTTGACTTTTGAAGGATATTTTTCCCTGTACTTTTTCCTGGTTTGTCAGACAATGCAGCACTTGTGACAGGAAAAGAATCCACAAATATTTTCTGATTTTAAGCCACTCCTCTGGAGACCCAGTATGAAATCCTGACAGCATCATTTGTGTTCTTTTTCACTGTTTCTCTACAAACGTACATACATAAACATTCCAAAATGGACAGAAATGAAAACGTAATCCCAGATGAGAGTGTGGGTAATAAGAAAACTGCAGAGATAACTGAGTTAATGTTTGCTCCAGAGGTCTACAAACGTGCTCAAGAGAAAGGGACACTCTCCCGGATGTTTCCTTTGAGAATGACACAGGAAACTGAAAACGGAAAGGTCAGACTGATGGGGAAAGGAGTAGACATCGAGCCAGAAGCAGACCTTGATAATACTTGGCAGACCGTGAAAAGAAAGAAAGTCCACCTAAGCCACCTATCAATTCGTTCTGGACAATGTTGTGAAGTCTAAACCACGAGGAGTAAATACAGTCAATGCAATTTGCTATCTCACAGTTACAATGTGATGTGGAAAGATGTAAATGAACAGGGGTTCCATGAATCATATCATTGAATTTTATAGGACGGCAGTCTTCCTTTTGAATATCTGTCCAAGTTGGTCCATAATTTATTCCAGGTAATCAGAACAACCCTCTGGTGAACATCTTCAGCAAATTTTGCATGCATTTCTTTGGCCAACTGTTTTAAATATATGACCTCTAGTTACCAACTTGCAAATAGTTTCTCACCACTTGCTCTACCAAAATCCTTCAATATTGAACACCTCTATCTCTTTTCCTGCTACGTTCACATACAGAAGTACCAAGGGAAATGGAGTAAAGATAGAAAAAGATTTTTTCAAAGGGACAAGAGCAAAGCTGAAACAATGAGTTGTCAAGGGACAGGCCTGTTTGCATTATTCTGGGCTGGGCAGAGAAATAGGCTGGATGAGGTTGGAATAAAATTAGAGGAATTGGAGAAAAGATCAGGGGCTCTCTCGGAAATGATGGCATGTTATTCAGTGGGAATAACACATTCCAGAGAAATAGAAGAATTAAAGTGAATTCATTTCTGTTTGACTGCAAGCAGCTCCTTCCACCAGACAAAGCAGTAACTCAGTCAAGGGCACTGGAACAGAGAGGATGGAGAGCTTCAAGCTCAACATGGAGACAGATTAGCGTCAGAGGAATGGAGATGGCTACAGTTCTCAATGAAAGTGCAAGATGCCTGATGAAGGTAGGAGAACCTGGAGAGAGGAATAGTAGAATCAGATTCAAGGTAGACTCCTGGGGGAGAAAATACACAGCAAGGCATAATTGATGGAGCAGCACCTCAAGGTTGGAAGTAGGTAAGGTGTGTGCTTTAAGAGGTGACACTGCGGAGGGCAATTTTTTCATAATGAAGCAGGAAGAGGTAGGGTAATGTTTGAAAACCTATCATGTCTGGGCAGCGATGGAATTAGGTCTTTCAAGAATCAGGGCATTTTTGGATAAAATATGTAGCATTCACGGTAAAACTAACTAAGACTAGAAATTGACAGCTTCAATTATTCTTTTCATGGGACACAGACAACAATTGTTGCCCAAACCAAATTGCTCCTTTAGTGAGTGGTTTGTTCAGTATTTCAGAGGGCAGTTAAGATTGTAAGTCAGAGCAGAAATGGCAAATTACTTTGCTGAAAGGAAAGATTTTTATTTTATGATCACCACTATATCCAATTCCAGATGTTTTTGATGTTGATTTAAATAACCCCAACTGCTATGGGAGGATTTGAACCTCTGTCCCCTATGGCATTAGTCCGACTGTTCAGTGACATTCTCACTGCACCATCATCTTCCTTCCTTCTTCGGCCCCTATCTGTACAAGGATGCACTCACCTATTATCAGTGCTGTGTGCTGGGAACCGTGGATAAAGGGCACAAAGAAGAGCTGCAATTGCAGAGTTGGATGTGCACAATGAATACCTATAATAGAGATTGAAAGGGTTAAGTTAAAGCACAAATTAAGACAGTTTAGGAAGACTCATCCCTTTACAAAACGAATGTTAAAAGCAAGCGAGCAGAACCCACAAATTATACCAATTTCAGTCACGTAAAAAAGCACGTGGGCGGGGTTTTACATCACAGTTGCGGCTCCACAGTACCTTCACCCCATCATCTCCTTTCTGCGTGTAATTTGTTAAACCATTGGAAGGGTGAGTCACCGCCTGAGGTGTAGAGGGATGTGGTAAGAGGAGGTGGCTGTGGTAAGTGAGATGGGGCAGGTAGGCAGGGTGGGTGGGACGAGTCACATTCAGTGAGCAGAAAGTGAGGGTCAGGGAGGACTATGAAGTGATTAAATGAAGCAGCGAGAGGACGGGTGATTAGGTGGGTTGGCTAACAGAGAGTTTAAGTGCAAGGGAGATGTGTGCGTGGTGGGTGAACTGGGTAACTGGATGGATGCACGGGGGCTGGGTTTGCTGGAGGCAGACTAGTGGGCGACTCAGGAATGGTAGAGCCAAACCAGGTGGATGGAATTTGGGAAGAGTGACATGGATGGGGCAATTTGATGGGCGAGGTAGGGATGGATGGACGGCAGAATGGAGCTGTCAGATGCAGGGAGTTTATGAGGAGGTGAGCAAATGTGTGGGCACATTAGAATGGGCAGTTCAAGAAAGTGAATGACATTAGATTCACATTTAAAGCACGGTTTGCCTAATGCATGCACAATTATGAATCCTTCAGATTTAACAATCAGTACTAATTTACTTCAGTTGTGCTGTATGGAAAACTAGTAAAATTAGGACAGTTTACCAGTCAAACATATACACAGTCCTGCAATTGCTTTCTTTCTCTCCAATTGTTCATCCCTCTTTTACCTGGAAGGCAGCAATTCATTCCATGGCACTTGGCCACGACAGAAAGATGCCTTTTACCACTCTGCCCAAGTGACCATTCTTGTCAGTGAGCTATTTGACTGTGTGAAGCATCACAACCATACCTGATGCCTGCAAATGCACTTATTAATAGGAGTCACTGCACTGTGAGCATGAAGGAGAGTGGAAGAGGCAGCAAGTTATATACAGTAGGACTGTCAGTGCCAGGAAAGATAAAAGCATAGCCTAATGTTTCATGTCTTCTTAAAGGATTGCACTTGCAATGTTGCTCATTTTTGGTGATCATGGGCGGGTTGTTTGTAAAACAAAAGGTAAAAATAATTTTATACGCTGGTCTTTCCCTTTGGTATCGGAGTTCAAAATTTACGCCAGAGCCCTGTTTTCTGAAGCTCCCTGAAAAAAGCATCTATCCAGGCCTCAGAGCACACAGCTTACAGAGGAAAAAAAACTAACCCTAATTTGACACGACAAATGAAGCTTACTTGGATCAACCACAAGGATGGCTGCTGTGGGAAGTATCAGACCGGGGAGAATAGAGCAAAATAGCTGCGAGGATTGATAAGAGTAATGCTGCTGATGTGGCACACATCGACTTCCAAAAGGTGCTCGAAATCTTGCCGCACGAAAAAACAACTTGCGAGCCAGATTGTAGGTCACAGAATAAAAGACACAGTAACAACATAGGAGTAGATGGGTTCTTAAAAAGCAAGGGGCTGAAAGATTAATAGGCGTATATGAGAATTTGGAGTAACCCAATCAGCCATGATCTTATTGAATGGAGGAGTATACTCAAAGGACTGAACCTGCTTCTCATTCGTATGTTCTTAAGCATAGAATACAAAATTGGCTCAGTGATGCAACAGAGAGTAATAGTTAATGGAACAAAACAAAGAACTGTGGATCCTGGTAATCTGAAACAAAGAGAAATTTCTGGAGAAACTCATTGGGTCTGGCAGCATCAGAATGGTTCTGAAAGGGTCACTGGACTCAAAATGTTAACTCTGTTTTCTCTCTGCAGTAGTTAATGCAATTTTGTTTTTGGGTTGTAACCAGGTGTGATGTGGAGTTCCCCAAGAGTCAGAATTCGGACACTTGCTCTTCATCATGATATATTAATGATCTAGACCTTGATATACAGGGCACAACTTCACAATCTGTGAATGATATAAAACTTGGAAGCACTATGAACAGGGAGGAGGTCAGTGCAAAACTCCAAAAGGATAGAGATAACACAGTGTGGAGCTGGAGGAACACAGCAGGCCAGGCAGCATCAGAGGATCAGGAAAGCTGACGTTTCGGTTCGGGACCCTTCAATTCTCCCAAGTCCATCTTCAAAACTGAAGTTTCTCATTCTGGGAACCATGCTCGTGAATCTTTTCTGTAATCTCTCCAAAGCCTTCATATCCTTCCTAATGCGCCATACAGAAGTGGACACAATACCACAGCTAAGGCTAATTTCATTGAAGGGTCCCAACCCGAAACGTCAGCTTTCCTGCTCCTCTGATGCTGCCTGGCCTGCTGTGTTCCTCCAGCTCCACAGTGTGTTATCTCTGACTTCAGCATCGGCAGTTCTTACTATGTCCAAAAGGATAGAGACAAGTTGAGGAATGGGTAGACAAGTGGTAGACGAAGTTCAATGTGGAGAAATGTGTAATTATGCATTTTGCTAGGTTCAATTTAAAGGGTGATAAGTCATTGAAGTTGGCAGAACTGGTTGAAAAAGCAGTTAATGAAGAATAAGTCATCCTGAGCTTTATAAATAGGGCCAGAGAGAACAAGACCAAGGAGGTTTTACTGAACTTATATAGGACTCCAAATTAGCCTCAGCTATGGCATTGTGTCCACTTCTGTATGGAACATTAGGAAGGTTATGAAGGTTTTGAAGAGATTACAGAAAAGATTCACCAGCATGATTCCCAGGATGAGGAACTTCAGTTTTGAAGACGGACTTGGGAGAACTTGGGCGATTCTCCTCGAGAAGAGAAGGTTAAGAGGAGATTCGATAGAGGCATTCAAAATCAGGACAAAGTGGCTGCGTGAAAGGATTGAGAACAAAAAGGCACACATTTAAACCTACTGGCAAAAGAAACAAAGGGGACACAAGGAAAGAGCTTTTCCAGTCAGTGGGTGATTGAGGTTCAGATGACGTGGCCTGTTCAACAAAATAAAGAAAAAGGGTTCAATCAAGGTTTTCAAGAGGGAATTGGAGTACTATGTGAAAAGGAAGAATCTGCAGGGTTACTGGCAGAAAACGGGGGAATGGCACTAAATGAGTTGCTCATTTGGAGAGCCTGCAGAAACAATGGGCTCAAAGGCTTCCTTCTGAGGTTGGAGTTGCGGCATGTTGTTGAGTGCAGCGCAGCAGGACTTGGACTTGAAACTAGAACTCTGTTTTTATACACTGAGGCTGCCAAACCTGCAGAGTGTTTCCAGTTTTTTCTGCTTTTCTTTCAGATGGCCAACATTTGCAGTATTTCACTTTTGAATTTCTCTCCAGATGTGGCTGTGCCACGACAGTGTTGGATAGCTCACAATTACTACACTGCGTGACTGAAGCTGGAAAGGTTCTACACAACTCCAGAGCACCATCTTGTTAATGTACTCTGCAAATAAAACGATTAAGAGTTACCTTCCCCCTCCTAAGAACAGGAGGCCAAGAGCCATATGCGATGCCATGTGAAAGCCGTAGTTCATCTCTCCTCCGGTTCTTTTATGCATGAATCGACAGAACTGGAGGACTTTCAGATTCCCAGTGCCTGCCATCACCAAGGCAAGGGAAAGCAGAACAACACTCAAACACGTTTCCAGGTTGTGGTGACCAGCCTGTGAAGTTGAAAGGTGACACCTAAGTCAGTCTAAAACTGAGAGAAAGTCAGCGGATTAGCTCCTTTACCCTATGTAAGCCCCCACTAAGCCCAGTTAGTGTTTTTCAAGACATGAAAAGTTAACTATGCTTTTGTGCCTAGGTGCTGCTAGAGCTGGCTGAGTTTCACCAGCAATTTATTTTTGTTTCAGATCTATACAGCATCCACGGTTCTTTTATTTCATGACTCATTTTCTTTTATTCGCCTTGCAAAGAAGTAGTACCTCTCCTTGACTGTGCTGAAAAGTTCGCTCCAACTTTCCTTTGATGTGGGAGTTGCGCTGTGCAGTCCCTTTAAGAGAGACCGGCTTGGCCTCTTGAAGGTGTCATTGCTTGTGCGAGACCTATTTGTTCATCATGCACCCAGCTGCCTGCGCAGCTTAAAGGAAACACTGCTGAGCACATCTGGACAGGCAGACTAGTGCCTGGTCCATCCAAACAGGGCCTTTGAATCCATGGTTTGGAAGTACAAGTGAGCAAGATGAGCTGCACCAATAATACCTTGCAGCTTGCTTGAATCCATTAATTGCAGTGACTTTGACAGTATTCTTTGTTACTGATGAGATGTGGGTGTCACTGACAAGGTCAGCACTAACTACCTTGATCACAGCCATGGTGGTGAGCTGCTTTCTTGAACTGGGCAGGGAGGAAGTGCCAGAATGGTGAATAGGGTTCCAGTTTAGCTGTGGCATTGTGTCCACTTCTGAATGGCAGAGTAGGAAGGATGTCAAGGCTTTGGAGAGATTACAGATAAGATTCACGGGGCATGATCCCAGGATGAGAAACTTCAGTTTTGAAGACGGACTTGGGAGAATCGGGATGATTTTCCTTGAAAAGAGAAGGTTAAGAGGACATTCGATAGAAACATTCAAAATCACAGGGCGTCAGGACAGAATGTTGGGGAGAAACTGGTCCCACCTGTGAAAGGATTGAGAATAAGGCGGCCCAGATTTTAAAACCTATTGGCAAAAGAAACAAAGGGGACACAAGGAAAGAGCTTTTCCACTCAGCGGGTGATTGAGGTTCAGATGGCATAGCCAGTTTAACAAAATAAAGAAAAAAGGTTCAATCAAGGTTTTCAAGAGGAAATTGGAGTATTATGTGAAAAGGAAGAATCTGCAGGGTTACTGGCAGAAAACGGGGGAATGGCACTAAATGAGTTGCCCATTTGGACAGCTTGCAGAACCAGCGAGCTGAAGGACTTCCCTCTCCTTCCACTGGGGATAGCAAGAACTGTCGATGCTAGAGTCAGAGGTAACACAGTGTGGAGCTGGAGGAACACAGCAGGCCAGGCAGTATCAGAGGAACAGGAAAGTTGACGTTTCAGGTCAAGACCCTTCTTCAGAAATGGGGGAGGGGGGAGGGGGAAGGGAGCTGGGAAATAAAGAGAGAGGGGGGGGGTGGGGTTGGGGAAAGTAGGTGGGATGGTGATAGGTGAGCGCAGGTAGCGATTGGTCAGTGAGGTGGGAGGAGCGGAGAGGTGGGAGAGAAGATGGACAGGTTGTGTCAGGTCAAGGAGGCGGGGATGAGAGGGAGGGTTGGTCATGGGATGAGGCCAGGGGTGGGGAGATTTTGAAACTAGTAAAGTCCACATTGAGACCATTAGGCTGTTCTCATGCATCTGCTGCCCTTGTCTTTCTAGACGGTAGCAGTCATGGGTTTGGCAGTTGCTGTTTTATGCTGGATAGTGTCAAGTTTCTTCAGTATTGATGGAGCTGCACTCATTCAGACAATGGGGAGTTTTCCATCACACTCTGACCTTGTGCCTTGTAGACAACGGACTGCATTAATATGGCTAGTTCAACACAGTTTCTGTTCAACAGTAACCCCAGTATAGTGGGGGATTCAGCTGTGGTAATGTAGTTGAATGTTAAGGGGTGATGGTTGCATTTTCTCTTATTGGAAATGATCAATGCATGGTATTTGTGTGTTATAAAGATCACTTTCTAGTTATAGACACAAGCCTAGATATTGTTCGGTTCTTACTGCATTTGGACATGGAATGCTTCAGTATCTGAGGAGTTACAAATGTGCTGAACATTGTGCAATGATTGGCAAACATCCCTTCTTCTGACCTTATGATAGAGGGGAGGTTATTTGATTAAGTAGCTGCAGATAGTTGGGCCTAGATCACTACCTGGAGGAACTCCTGCAGTCGACATAGATATAAAAAATAGGTGGAAGAATAGACCATTTGGCCCTTTGAACCTGCTTTACCATTCAATTTGAACATAGCTAATCGCTCAGCTTAATACCCTGTTCCCACTTTCTCCCATACCCTTTGATTCTTAGAGTTGTTTCCAAAGGGTATCAGTGTGGGGATGAGGAGCATTCTTTTCAACCAGGTGGTTGTTACGTTTGGGAATGCACTGCCTGAAAAGGCGATGGATGCAGATTCAATAATAACTCTCAACAAGAGTGTTTGAGAAATAATTGATAAGGGAATAATTTTGTGGGGCTGTGGGGAAAAGCTGCTTCCATTCGCTGCCAATATGCCAGGGCCAGCAAACAGATCAACAGATCTGCTGTCCATCAGGACGGTGCCATTAACTTGTAGTGTAACAGGAAGCTGCAACAGTCTCGAACATTCTTTCCAAAATTAATGGAATCCAAATAAAGTCACAATCACGGATACTGACTGTTGAACTTCTTACAATTTATTTGAACTGCGTTTTGCACTTTTGTTATCTTAATGTGGGACATCCTCAAAAGGTAGAGACAGTGGGTCCTTTCACCTCAGGATCAATTTAATTGATGGGGTAGACAGTCCCCTGTGGCTGCAAGGTCCCTCTTTCAAACGACTTTGGCTACATTCAAGAACATTGACTTCAAGGGAAATAATTCTACCCGAACTGCTCAGGCTTGAGAATGAGCACAAAATACAAGAAGCAATACAAACCATTCAATGCTGCAATTGTGAACTGATCGCAAAATACAAGAACAAGAGATTTAACTTACCAGTGCTGCCGCAGGCGAAGAGACAGATTCCAGAAACATTTTCACATATTTGTACTAGAAATGAAAAACAATAGTTAATGACAGTCTTATGCAGAGATAGTCCCTAGCACATTGATTGAAAACAGCAACCAAATAATAACGAAGTGACAAAAGCTTCAAGAAATTCATGATTGAAATTAAGACCTACCAGACAATTAAATGCTGCTGCATTAGATGAACCTGCAAATCGAAGGCCCATTGCCATGCAGGCACCAGCAATAATGTTAATATGAGCTTGTCTGTAAGATAGTGAGAAGATTGCAGTACAAATTACTCAGAGGATAGGCAACAATTTATTTGCATATCTTATTTGACTGTTAGACCTAATTCCTTTTGACATGTTGCCAGGAATGAAGGGGCTCCAGATTTTGAAATAACCTATGGTGAAGGAGTAGAGTTCAATTTCAGTCCCCATATTTTCTCCTACTGATGGTGGTGGTGGTCACTGGGGAGTGGAGGGGAGACCAGGTGACCTTTGATTTGTGAAATCAGACTTTCCTTGGTTGGCAAATTGTCCACTTCAACTGGTGTTGATAGGATTAGAATTCTTTGAGGAGGTAAAGTAGACGAGCTATTTGGATCTCCAGAAGGCCTTTGACAAGGTGCTGCCAGGGTCCTGCTAAATAAGGTAAGAGCCTGTGGTTTCAGGGGCAGGTATTTGCATAGATAGAGGATTGGCTGACTGGGAGAAGCCCAGAATGAGGACAAAGGGTTCTTTCTTATGATGGTGGCTGGTGACTAATGGAGTTCCACAAGGGTCAGTGTTGGGATCACAACTATTCACATTGTATATTAACAATCTGGACAAAGGAACTGTAGGCATTGTTGCTAAATTTGCACAAAGACAGGTGGAGTGACAGGTAGTGTTGAGGAGGCTGCAGAAGGACTTGGACACGCTAGCAGAGGGGCAAATAAGTGGCAGATGGAATACAATGTGGGAAAGTGTGCAGTTATGCACTTTGGTAGGAAGAATAAAGGTATAGACTATTCTCTAAATGGAGAAATGTTTTGGAAATCTGAAGCACAGAGGAACTTAGGAGTCCTAGTTCAGGATTCTCTGAAGTGTAACATGCAGGTTCAGTTGGAAATGCTCAGCAAGCCTGGCAGCATTTGTGAAGAGAAATCAGATGAAGTGTCAGGGCTGGTGACACTTCTTCAGAACTGTCCCTACCTTTTGAGGATGTCCCACATTAAGATTACATATAAAAGTGCAAAATGTAGGTCAAACAAGTTGTAAGAAATAGTTCAACAATTAGCTCTGAGGAAGGGTCACCAGACCTGAAAAGTTAACTCTGATTTCTCTTCACAGATGCTGCCAGACCTGCTGAGCTTTTCCATCAACTACTGCTTTTGATTCTGATTTACAGCATCTGTGGTTCTTTTGGTTTTTATGCAGGTTCAGTCGACAGTTAGGGAGACAAATGCAATGTTTACACTCATTTCGAGATGGCTAGAATGCAAGAGCAGAGATGTACTGCTGCGGGTGCATAAGGCTCTGGTCAGGCAGTATTTGGAATACTGAGAGGAATTTTGGGCCCCATATCTAAGAAAGGGTGTACAGGCCTTGGAGGAGGTCCAAAGGAGCTTTACAAGAATCAAAAACAGATATTGTTGGAAAAACCCAGCTGTGGAGAGAAAGCAGAATTAACATTTCAGGTCTAGTGACCATTCATGAGAACTGGTTGTATACGGGAAAAGATTGGTAAATAAGAAGATTGGGGTTGGGGGGTGGGGTGGGGGGGGGGGGGGGGGCGGTGCGGAGGCACAGGTAAACCTGGAGATGGAGCCCAGAGAGAGACAGTTGGGCAGACAAAGGACAAAGGTCAGCCTGGGAGAATGAACAGTCATTAGCCACAGACAATGGGCTGTGGTAGCGGCCCATGTGAAGTTTACAAGAATGTTCTTGGGAATGAAGGGTTCGTCATATGACCAGTGGTTGAGAACTCTGGATCTGTACTCAATGGAGTTTAGAAGGATTCGGCGGGGTATCTCATTGAAACTTTTGAAATATTGAGAGACCTGGATAGAGTGGACGTGGAGAAGATATTTGCATCAGTAGGAAAGACTTGGAGTTCTGGGCACAGCCTCAGAGTGAAGGGACAACCCTTTAGAACTGAGATGAGAAGGAATTTCTTCAGCCAGAGGGCTGTGGAGGCCAAGATATTGAGTATACTTAAGACAGAGATAGATAAGTTCTTGATTGGTAAGGTGATCAAGGGTTATGGGGAGCAGGCAGGAGAACAGGATCGAGAAACATATCAGTCATGACTGAATGGCAGAGCAGACTCAATGGGCTGAATGGCCTAATTCTGCTCCTTTATCTTATGGTCTCATGGTGTTAAGCTCATAAGGGATAGGATCCAATCACTGGAGTGGTGCAACTGGCTGGAAGCAGGCCAGAATGTTCAGCGATTAATATCCAGGTTGTGTGAGGGGTGGAATGGGAGAATGTAACAATTATACAACAAGTGGTTACACAAAGCAGCTATATCAGAAACTCTGAATTTGGGAAATTGTACCTTAAGCCGACAGGCACACGCTTATCAACTGAAATGTAGTATTACGTCTTGGATCCATGAACCATTTATGTAATATTTAATAAATTACAAATAACAGAGGGAAAATAAGAAAAGCTTCACCTTACCATGTTAGGAAACTGAGGTGGAAAAATTGAAAAATAGGTTTTGTGGATAATGCAAAATGTAATGCAAAATGATTCGAACACGTGCAGGTCTGTCGGTAGCAGTAATGTATATTGCACTCTGACTCAGTGGAAATCACTGTTTAAAGCCACTACTTGTGACACCCCGATCAATAGTGCATTAGGCAGGGTGTGTGTGTCTGTGTCTTTCTGCGTGGCTGTGTCTGTGTGTGTGTCTGTTTTTAACATGTACAAATTTTCATCCTGACAAGCATATCAGAGGTAAACTATTCCATTAGAACTTTCAATCATTTATTTAAAACCATTACAAACAGTAAATCCATTGAAATCGCCTTCTGCAATTTTAGTAACAAATGCAATGATGCACAACATCAGTTGAAACTGAAAGATGAAAATAACGAAGGCCTTAGAGCATAACTTGCAACTAACATGGAGTGTTGTCTTTTCAAAAACCTTTTATCTTTAAACTCAACTTACAATTATTATTTCCTGTTCTATTTTGATTCCATCACTACTTCTACATCACTTTCCGATACTCGCAGTTCAGACTGATATGGGTGAATCATACCAGGAACTTCTTCCTCTGAGTAATCTGACAGAAAATCACCTCCAACCTCCCTTGTCAAACTACTTCAGCAAAGTGAGCCACATAGTTTCAGATAATCACACATTGATCAATCAGATGCACTTAGAAGAGAGTCTCAAAGGAGGAGGGAAACGTAAAATGTGTCGCCTTAATTCTTTTTCATTTGAAAAATAGACCACCTCTCATTTAATTTTCTTTTTAGGCTGATGATAAGTCAGCTTGGGGCTGAAAACAACATCCATTCACTAACGAAGTCTGACTGATGTGTGGAATGATTTTCCAGGTTGTACAGTGAGGGCAAGAGCTCTCAAACGGGGGCTTTTGCAGGGTTTACTGAAGCTGGGAGTTGAACAGGCTTAATGCTCTACTTCACATGTGATGCTGAGAACCAGCTGCATGCTTAAACCCTCTTGCTGGTGTTAACGCTCTGTGAAACATGTAGACACACTCTATGCTCATAGAGGTTTTATAGCGGAGCCTCCCAAAATCTGTTCCACATTTGAGGTTTTGAATACTTGCTGTCACCCACACAGTGTGAACCAGAGTGGGCGGAGGAGCAAAGCAGAGAGACTGGGATGTGGGAAGAGAAGGGCAGATTGCCTGGTTATAGATGGTAGATTGTCAGCCTGGTCTGGTCTGGTCTATGTGTGATGGCCGACCCACAGACAGGTGGTTGGCTCCTACCTGCCCTCTCAGGTGGCCTTGCAAAGGCAAGTTTCGAGGGCAATGAAGAATTGGCAGCAAATGCTGGCCTTCCCAGCGATGCCCACCAGCTGGTCATCTCTCACTACTGGTTGTGAGTCACTACAATGCATGGGTTGGCTGTGGCATTTCCTACATGACAACAGGGACAAGCTTTCCAGAGTGTGGTAATGCTTATTGGCACAGCTAGAAGTTGTAAGCTTTTTTCAAATAAAGATGAATATTCCTTCCATCTGTGAAACAGGGCATCAGCAACAGTGGTCTGTCAAGATGAGACTCTGGTATATTATCTCTGGGACAGCAAAGTCTGACGTGCAGGTCTGACAGAGTGTTAACAGCTGCGAGGACCCTTTAAATCCTTGCACTTTTTTAATGGTGGGCTTGGTCTGAATGGACTGAACGTGGAGGCAGATTCCAGCTTCAAAAAGGTCAGTGCTTTTTATCAAAAACCCCTGTTACTCAAACAGCCACCCCACCCTGCACTGCTCTCATAACTCTCCACCCTTTACTTCCATTCTCTCAAATCTGCGATGGCCTAGTGGTATTGTCGCAAAACTAGCAATCCAGAGAATCAGGTAATGTTCTGGGACCAGAGTTCAAATCCTGGCCATGGCAGATGGTGGAATTTGAATCCCATAAAAATAATCTGGAATTAAGGGTCCAATGATGACCGTGCAACCACTGTTAATTGTCGCAAAACCCAATCTAGTTTACCAAAGTCCTTGAGGGAAGCAAACTGCCATCCTTATACAGACTGGCCGACAAGTGACTCCAGACCCACATCAATGTGGTTGACTTTTAACTACCCTATGAAATGGCCCAGCAAGCCACTCAGTTGTATCAACTGCTAGAAAGGGAAAAAAGTGTGAAATCAAATGGACCACGACTAAGGTACAGGAAATGACAATAACAAAAACAGTCCTGTGGACTCTGCAAAGTCCTTTTCACTAATTTCTGGGGCTCATGGCAAAATTGGGAGAACTATCTCACAGACTAGTCAACGAACAGCCCAACGCAGTCAAACCTCCTTCCCTTCAGCACTCTGGATGTACCCACAGCACATGGACTGCAGCGGTTCGAGAAGGCAGCTCACCACCACCTTCTCAAGGGCAACTAGAGATGGGAAAGAAATGCTGGGCCCAGCCAGCGACACCCACAGCCCATGAATGAACGAAAGAAAATTTCACTCTGACTTGATCTGAATGCATCAATGAATTGATCATCTCAAAAGATAATTGTACCATGTACCAGACTCACAAAAAACAACTTGCACTATAAACAAGCTTAAA